TTTTTTACAGAAAAATGTTAACTTACTGCATTACTTTAGTTTGGTGGTTCAGCTATGATGCTTATAAGTTTCATCTTTCCAATACTATGCTACTTAGCTCTGAAAACGTTAAAGAAATTAGGCAGTTCTGTTGGTGACTATCATCGTCCTTCAATTCAAGAGTATGTTTAAATAAAAACGTTCTCTGACAGCTTTTCTGACACAGACGTCTCACGCTGCCACTGATATACGTGTTTTCAGAATCGTTTCCTTAACACCTTGGCCAATTTTACTAATTAACGTTTCAATCATAGGTATCTAATTTTTCTGTCTTAATTTTGTTAATCACAGACCTCACTTGCTTCTATACTCGTTCAATTTAGTAATTGGCGTTGTTGGTGGGGTTGGTACAACGATAGTCTCATTTCAAAGTATGATGGCTGATAGCTTTGAACCACCATGTTATGTTCGCCCATTCTTGACCTCATTTGATACCAGTGTTACACATGATATCACAAATTGTTGTGGCGCTGGAAAAAATGTATCTATATACGGGAGTCCAGAAAGACACTGCTCAATTTTCGATGCTTATTAGCGTCTAATAAGGTATGATATTCTTGCTAAAAGTATGCATTATAAGTGATATTGTCTTGTGAACAAAGCAGCTATTCAGTACTGTTTATTTCATTCCTTGAAAAAACTTTTATTTTGCTGTTTTTCTACAGACTGTTGTTCTAGCAATTTTCTTCAATTGTTTTCTGTGACATTTTGCAGAGCCTAGTTTTTATTTGGCTCGACCTTATGGTTCTCTAAAAATTTTGTTGTGATTTGGCATCTAAGTACTTTTCCCTGATTTTATTAAGACTCGCACGCGAAAAAAATAACAGTTATAGATACGCCTATTAACACTACTTGTCGTGCGCTAAACTGTCATATAAAACCTAAACTGTTGTCTTCTTGATGAGAATTAAAAGTGGATTAAACAAATATTCAGCTGTCAACTGTGTTATGTAATATTCCTCTATTTAACATTTCCTTGAGCTTTAGTCAGTGTATACTGTACTGCCAGCTCATCCATACAAAAATTCTCTGTAGGACTACAGTCATCAGCTTGTTAATCTGACGTTATTCTGAATGCTGCTTTTTAGCTGCGTGCAAAAACTTTTCTTCTAAAATTCAGTTAACCTGTTTTCTTCGGAATCAGGCGATCGTTATAAAATAAAATACTTTATTGTACATCTTCTTTTTCTGCCCAATGGTTACAGAATTTTTGGACATGAATTTATTCACTCTACTATGATAAATGTACTTAATGCAATGAATTATAAAAATTTATAGTTGAATTAGTAGGCAAGAACTATTTTTACCAATTTTATAAAATCAGTGAACTTTGCTGAGTATTTTGCTATTCTTTAGTCGAGACTAGCAGAAAATAGAAGAAATTAGTTCTCGTTTTTCCGTTATTCTCTTTATAACAGTTACGAGAAAGCACCATTTCAATGGAACAAAGTAAAGAACACACTTAGACCGCAGCAGTGAAATAACAGTAAAGGTACCAACAACCGCTATAATGATAATAACGGCAGTGCTGAAGGTTAAGAAGCGCCAATGGTAATCTTAGAGACCTACAGACAATAATCAGTAACAGCTTACTTTTCTCAGACAATGATCTGTTGGCCTTTTTTTTTTATACTGCAGCTGACCATATTGACCGAGCACTCTCCACAGATTCTTACTTTGCATTTCATACTCGTTACTCGCCCGATTTTTTTGATAGTCATGTAGAGGCCGCCATTTTCTGACCGTCATTTCTGGTCGTCATGTAAATGATATTTTTTAAATAAAAGTAACAGGATTTTTGTGCTTTTTCTATTTCTTCTTTATTCAAACAATCTTTTTTATGGGGTAAGTTCTGTCTGTTCAACATGTGACAAGCAAAGTTGATTTCAGAAAAAAAGAAATTTTTACAAAGCTATTTGATCGGAGTAACGCTTTCCTCGATTACAGCAGTGTATCACTGTCAGAGTCAAAAAAAGTGCCTAGCAAAGGAAGTACAAAAATTCATTTTTCAAATGCATTTCTTTGTTTTCTTTTATTTTACAGAAAAAAATCTAGTAAAAGCTAGGAAAGATCTTTCTGGTTCTTCATTCGTTTTTTTCTGTTGTTTTTTTTTGCTGCGACCAACAACATGCTGAAGCATAAAAAGGTTGAAGAAAGTAAAAAAAAAAGACAATAAAATAACATCAAATGTATTTTTCCAAACAAATAATATAAATTAGAAGGTGTAACTGACAACGACGAAAGGAGGAAAAAAGAAGAACGATTTAACAGACGTGTGGAATTTGTGACGAAAGAAAAAATAGAAAAGAATACTTACAAATATACCAAAAGAGATTTTTACATCTTAACATAAAATAAGTTAATATATCAAAAATTTTACAATTTTTATTCCTTTGTTAAAAACTAACACAATGCTGAACCATTAGGCAAAGACGTGAATATAACTGTTCGCAGAGCACCGTAGAATTTGGCAAAAAGACTACAAAAAAACAATAATTGAAAAAAAACAGATACACAAATTGTGCGAGGAGTTGTTCGATTCTGTAACGCTGGATTATAAATTG